TGTGAAGATAAACAGATTCCCTATATTTCTGAGCAGATGTGTACTTATATGAGAACTGCCAGATAAATGAGGACACATCAATAGTCATCAACCAGTTTGTTAATGAGCTGGAGCTAATGACTCATTTCTGTATTAAAACAAACAATTTTACTCTAATTAATAACATTATAAACAGGAGCCAATTACTTATAGCAATATATGTAAACATTGTTTTGTTAATTATTTGCCAAAGTTTGGTTGATTTCATGCACCAGAAAAAATTCAGTCCCAGTGTTACATCGTGATGCGTTTTCAGCCAGACTGTGGACCAGATGTTAATTTAAAGGCATGGTGAGATCTGATCCGGGATTCAAACAACTACATTTCCTGCCATGCTACATGTGCATGGCAGGAAGCACAATTGTGGGACTGAGCATCAGAGCCCATCATACCATATTGCCAGTGCAGGAAGAGCCGGATCCTGGACTTCCTCTGCACCTGCAAGTAGCAAGCTCCCTGCAATTCTCCAGCTGGGAGTGTTGATTGGCTCATTAGCTGATTAGAGCTCCCAACCCTGGGAGTGTACCATGCTGCAGAGGCTAGAAGTCCCCAACTGGGGGAAGCTCCATGGTGATTGGCAGGGAACTCCAATCAGCTGATCCAGGCTCCCAGCTGCAGGAGGCAATAGTGAACTCCTATGGCTGGGAGACCCAGTTAGGTGCACCCAGCTTCTGAAAGACAGGAGTTTTGGAAGGAACCAATGTGCTCCAGAGTCTGGGAGCACTGCACACCCATTCACTTAAAGGTGTGATAAGAACCAACCACAAAGTTATTACACAAAATATGTATAATAGCTTTGTGGCCTTTTCCTCATGTTATCATTTGATTTATCATTTAAACAAATGAGTGTGTGACCATGTCCTTATTTAAAATGGGATTAACCACTTAATCATGTCCAGGGATCCTGGCTTTCTCTGATAAAAAAAAAAATCCCCAATTGTCAGATTAATGAAACACCAATAATTATATATATATATATATATATATATACACACACACACACACACACACACACATATATATATATACACACACACACACACACACACACACACACATCTATATAGATATATATCTATATCTATATCTATATATATATATATAGTGGACACACACACACACACACACACACACACACATATATATAGTGGTATTTCATTTTGATCATGGAAAAATGTGGATTTTGGGTTACTTTTTGTAATCCAAAAATTGGGGATTTTTTTGTTTTTTTATCAGAGACAACCAGGATCCCTGGTCAAGTCTTAAGGTTAATGTTTGTCAGGGCTTGATAAATGTAGAACAATGAACATTTCAACCAGCATCACCACTCAATACTACAAACAGCATAAGATTACAATGAACAAGAATTTATGCTACTACCTAAGTACCTGCAGTGCCCAGTGAATTCAGAAAGACCTACAGATGGCTAGCAGCTCATTAAGTCTGGCCATTCATTACAGAACCCGATTCATTGCCAGCAATAAATACATCCATTTTTACACGTAGAACACAAACTATACAAGTAATTTTGTACTGTAAAGTCTGTTGTTGCGTATTTGGTTTTAGTTTACATATAATTGTTTTGGGGGGGGGTTGTTTGCTTTCTTGTATTTGCTTTACTGTATGTACTCACAGGTTTTTCTCCTCTCATCTTTGCTTGTGATCTGGAAAGAAGCAGGGCTGTCTGCACTAGGCAGAACAGCCCGCCTGCTGTGTCTTGATACCTGAGGCTTTTGCTTATGACGCCCTGTTGTGTACTGGAAACAAGAAACTAGTTTCCGTCAGGTAACAGCAGGGAAAATCAGACCCCTGGCCACATCGGCTGAACTGGGCAGCGTTCTTGTCAAATAAATTGGTTAAGAGGAAAAACTAGAAGCCTGGCAACCCTTCACCTGATACCCAGGGTGATGTCAGACCAGGTACATAAGAAGAGGGAGCTGGGGGTTGGGGGGACCACGGAGAGGCCCCCAGCCACAGAAGCCAATGTAAAGGGCAAGTCTCCTGTACAGAGGAGTGAGGGAGTCTCTGAGTCTGGGACTCCTCTCCTCTTCCTTTCTTTGTATTCACTTTGCTTTCCTGGGTTTGTGGAGGGATAATACCATGGGGGTATTAATCCCTGGGACAAACCTCCAGGATTAGCGCCTGGTACCTGTTGTTGCTGTAGCAGTCCTTGTGCCTCAGCCTAGCTGAGTAGCTGAGCCCATCTGCAGGCCAGGCCCAGGAACCAGGATAGGCCCGGTTCCTTTTCTTTTGAGTGCTTTTGCAGTTTTCTGCTCCAGCTGGAGCTGTGGGATTTGGGACTAGCAATTCTTGGGGGCGGTTAACTCCCCCCCTCCCACAAATCCACCACGTGGAAGCGGAAACTGCTGCTCTACAGCTTCCCAGGGAGCAACGAGGGGTCCCTTGCACTGCAGAAGGACCCCCTACACTCAGTAGCAGCTCCCCAAGATGCAGTGAAACCCAAGGAACAGTTCACAGGACTTTCCTGAGTAGCAGCTATAGGGGTGCAGGCCAAAGTTAACCCTTTGGGTGAGCACTAGGGTGGCCACTTGTCTGGTTTTATAGAGGACAATCCGGTTTTCTGGTCCTCTGTCATCTATTGATATGAAACCAGATGCCTTTATGTCCTCTATTTCTCACTGCTTGGATGCCACCAACACCGCCGTTCCACCTGTGGGAGCTCCCCATTTGGCCCACCCTCACCACTGACACCACTGCGGCTGCCTGCGGGAGCTCCCTGCTTGGTCAGCCCCTGGTGCTGCCACTGCCATGGCTGCCTGTGGGACCTCCCCGCTTGCCACCACCACGCTCCCACCACCGACACCGCCTGCAGGAGCTCTCCACTCACCACCGCCATGCTCCCGCCACCACCACCACTGCCTGAAGGAGCTCGCAATGCCCCCCAAGCCTCAGGAGGCATGCAACGTTTATGGTGGTGGGGCCAGTTCCACTAAATGCAACTGTTCTCTATTACTGAGGTACCTCATTGGCCACCCTAGTGAGTCCCCACATCTCAGACTGCCTGGGTGTGGGTGGAGTCCCCCCAAAAGGGGTGCAAACTAGAGACTGTACTTTGTAGTCGATAGTATTTTAAATTGCATTTGTTTTTTTCTTTTGTTCTCCTTGCCTTTGTTTTCTGTAATACATCTGTCCTTAGTGTTTATACGGCTTGTGGGGAGGGGGATTTGTTTATGCAGGCCACTCCAGCCAAATTCAGTAATCCCAGATTTCTGGGTGGGGGCTTGAGACACAGTGAAAGCTCATTGGGTACCCCAAAATTTGAACCCGGCCTTGTTGACCACTGTCTGGCAGAAGGGTTATACACATTATGACATAAAAAAATATAAAGCCCTGTTTCATCTTTTCCTTATTAGCACATAATTTCTTGCAGAACATTACTGGAATCCAGTTAGCCTGAAGGTGTCATCAGTGCTATCACTGCTACATAGGGCAACCAGCTACAGTGGGCTCCAGAGCATTTAAGTGTTAACCAAAAGAGCCAGGCAGGAAGATGATTACAGTCAGGATTTTCAAAAGTGTTAATGAAACATGACAAATAAGGCAATAATCTCAACCCAAGTAATAGTCCAGCCTACAGAAAGGGAGCAGGATCAGAGACTCCGTAAAGGTCACTAGGCACTTCATGCTTGCCCATGTATTTTACATGGGAAGTGCTCAGGGATTTTTGTGACAATAGGTAGAGCAAATACCCAAGACAAATATCAGGGGAGGAGTAGGGGAATTCTCACTGGATTCCCTGGGGCCAGTATTTCAGACCAACCACATCAATTTTTAGTTAACCAACCCGATTGTCTTGAAAGACCCGGATTTGCAGCAAATCATGAGCAACCAACCTCAATCATGGCTTGTTCTAAAAAATAACTCTTCCTCATTTACAGTATCCTTAGGGTTATATTCTTACAGCTTTATCAACTCCCTGTCCATTTCATGATTCAGTTTAAAAATACTGTTTCTTTTCATCACCATTCCTAGACATGCTCCAGCAGCAATCACAAACCTCTCGTCCCCACCCTGCTCCCTCTTTTCACCTAATGCTTTTCACTTCTGCCCTTCCTCACAATCTGGCAAGAGTTAGCAAGAGAACTTTCTCTTCTGCAACACCTGCCACCTCGAACAACCATCCTGCAGCTTTCAGGCTCACTGGCCTGAAAGTGCCTTTGCTCCCTTGAACATCACTTCAGTGCTCCCTCTGTTATTTGTTTTAATTAACTCAGCAAAAAAACCCATTTTTTTATTATTTAATTTGGCTATTGATTGTCTTTGTTGGAAGAGTAGTTGTGTAAGATGCTCAACAAAACAACACCATATGGGCTTTTGTTGGGGGGCAGCGTAAAAGCACATTAAAACCTTCCCATGATTTGAGCACTGAAACAAAGCAGCTCTCTAACTGAGGAAAGTGCTCCACTCCCCCACAGCCCTAGGAGGACTGCGGGAACCATAACATAAGGGACGTGGTACTGCCTGTTCCTAATGCACAGGGCTGTTCCTTTAGTTTGCCTGCCCACACATCCCTAACGAGGGCAGTAAAACTGTTTTTAGCGCTCACATGTTTCCGGAGGGTAGCTTGTTAAAATCCAAATGAATCTGTCAGCATAAATGATGGAATCCCACAAGACAAGAGCAGGGATTAGCCTGACAAAACATCTGCCTATGTCGACACACAGTGTCGAGTGAAATGAGGCTCCACCAGACACTGATCCGTGCAGCTTATCATCTGCTCTCTGCCACTGACTTCTCAGTGACAGCTGGGTGCGCTTGCAAGGCATGTCTGCTTCTTCCTGACATTGCTGTGAAGAGCACAGGGATTATTCCAAGGGAGGCTCCCTGACAGCTCTGCCTTAAAGAGTTTACACTGAAGGCATTTGCTGTGCTATCAGTGCTTCCCTCACTGCCTACAAATGTATAAAGATTTGCTCTCCTGAGGAAGCATTTTTACTTACTTGGGATAATGCCTTTGATGAAAGATGGGCAGAATCTCTGTGTCCTGACTCCAATGTGGAAGCAGCAAATCCCGAAATCTTTCTGTCAAAGGGAAAAGAAACAGATCTAAAGTTGTGGCTTCGCACTAGAAACGTTCAGGCCAGGAGTAAGCATGTGATAGCCTCGGTGAATTCTCTTCCACAGCCTGGTTTTAACTGAGATAAAAAACCCAGAGCATTAAGAAACAAAATCTCTTCACTCTGATACCCTGGCAACTGCTGACAACACTTGAAAATTGCTCTTCTTTAGTCTAGATTTATAATATTCCTTTTCTTCAACATATTGATTATTGTATGTATTCTAGGAGTGTCCACAAGACCTCCACTGAGATAACTACCCTCTCCCTCCCACTGGAGAGACTAAATAGGAGATGGCCCCTGCTTGGAAGACCTAACATTATAAATAGACAAGAGATGAGAGTGGAAACAGATGCACATGGAGTTGAAATGATATCATTGAAGTCAGACAGCCACTCAGTAACAGAGCTGGGAAAGGAACCCCAGACTCATGCATCCCAGGACTCTGCCTTACCTGTTTGACCATACAACAACTCCTAACACCCACAGTTAAGCACCTTCTATTCAATTTGCAAACATTAATCAACTCTCACAATACCCCTCTGTAGGAAAAAAAAAACACCCTATTACAATCTCTATTGTATAGACAAAGCAACTGGTACAGAAAAATGAAGTGATTTGCTTGCGGTTACAGAGAATAAACCTGAATCTCCTGATCCCAATCTGCACCTTGAACACAAGACTGTCTTTCCCAGTTACCTCACTTATTTAAACATCTTTTTCCAAGATATGGATACTACCACAATCTAGTTTTGGGTAATACTGATACATCGGCTTGGATAAGATGTTCTAATTTTGAAACGGTCCTGATGCACTGAATCATTAATGTGATACCTGGATTAATTCTTTGTTAAATTGCAACTCTTTGATGATTGCAACTCTTTGATGACACCGCAGTAAATTCATGAGAAAAACTTCTTGTCAAGGGTTCAATTTTAAAGGTCAAGCATCTAAGCTCATTCAATTAGATCTATCATCAACCTGTAATATGGCTAGCCAAGATGTACTGAACATGTTTCTGACAAGCTGGAAAGCTCTGGTAGGTTGTTGGGGTTTGTTACTCAATGTCTTCATTCCTTCCTGTGAAGTCTCATCCTTTGCATGAGCCTTCTTGGGCTCATGTACACACCACAATTTTTGCCCTTCCATGTGCTGCAACTGCATGTCTGTTTGCAAGAGTGGGATTTCCCAATGCTTTAAAAGTCTTTCTTGTGCAGTAAACTAAAACTCCTCAGCTATAGTTTAGTTTGACTCGCTGGGAATTAAAGTGTCATGTCCATGGATTCATTGCGTGAAAACACAAAGGTACTCAAAGGTGTGTAATGAGGTGTGTCCACCACATGGTGCTGCAACTTTTTTTTAGTTCACCCCTTTGAATTTCTTCTGCTTTCTTTTTTCTTGTGTGGTTTGCCAGCTCCCTGCTTCCAAAGCTGCATGGTAGGGCACAGGGTGGGTGGGGGACCCTGGGCCAGGGGGGCAGTGCTGGACTGTCCCACTCTCTTGCAGCATTGACCAGGGACCTGGCTTAATTAGTTGCAAAACCTAGTGTGTATAAACACAGATGTGACACTTCAAGGCTTAACTCATTGAAAAACCTAGTGTGTGTAAACACATATGTGATGCTCCAAAATAAACAAGTTTAAATTTTATAAACTTATTTAATTTAATGAGGATTCAAACCTGTGGTGTGTACAGGCGCCCCTTGTGGCTTAACTAGAGGTTCCATTGTGTCATTTTACCCTATGAATGGGTGAGAGGGAAGCTTTTAAGCTTCAGTGCTGTTCATACAGTAGTCATTGTTAGCTCTTTTACCTCAAATCCTATTGGCACTCATTCCTTTCTTTCCATGTACATAGCTCACAAAGGAGCCTGGATGAGAACAGCATGCCTGAAGCCCAGTACTGAAAAAAATAAGAGGTGAAGCTGACTGGAAGGATAGTTTACAAAAAAACACTTCCAGTTTTAAGCTCCTTTTTTTACCTTTGCCTGTTTTTTGGATTCTCCGGTAGGTTCAGAGAATTTACCTCATCTCTCCAGGGCTCTGCATGTGGCCCAATGCAATTAAAGGGGACCTAGATACCTTATGAGTAGCAGAGGCTGAGGCTGGGGTACATTTTTGCCAAATGTCCTGAGCTGTGCATGATAGAGAACTGAAGGGAAAACATTTTCAGTGGAAAATACATGACTATAAATCAAGCTCCCTAGCTGTCTTGTAGAACTTGAGTTTGTTGAGTTTCAGAGCATGATCCAATATATAATTCTGGTTAAGCTTCTGAACAAGGGGAGGTGTGTGGGGAGGGGGGAAAGGGGTGCATGACTTGCATCCAAGTACTATGGCAATGGGTACCTAAAAAGAATCCTTAAGCAAATAATATACTTGGATCCATATGTGCCTATCTGTCATCCCTAAGTGGAACACTACACTCTGTGCACAATGGAGTTACAGCAACACATCGTAATTTTCCAGAAAGCATGTTAAAAAGGTTCCTTTGTCAAATGCTATCAGCTAAACAAGCCAGAGAAGGAGCGTGGGTTTGATCAAAAAAAGTGTCTTTTGCCTCTTCCCATCTCTCCATTTTATTTATATTCCACTGAGTAATCTACTTAGCAGAGCTCCTGTTTGGATGAATCTCCTCAGGGGTATACCCCCTAGGGAGATCTTGCACACTTCAGCTAACTTGGAATATCAAACACCTCTTTCACTCATACATAGAAGTCTTACAATTTCTCTACTGATGTTCCAAGAACTTACACTCATTCATACAAAGTAGCACTTAATTAATTGCTAACATATATAACATGGTGATACATATTTCATTTTTTGTTAGATTTTACCTCTGAACAGTCTCTTCTACCATCCCAGCTCACCTCACCTATTCCAGGAGTAGCATCTGGGAAAAGGAGCAACACTCACTGTGCTCTCCTAGAAATAAGAATCTGGGCTAGTAATTGAAACTTCTCTATCAAAACTTTTTTTCCCTGATGGAAAACTGGGATTTTGAGGAAGCTATGATGATGATGATGATAGTGAAGATTATGACAATGATGATGAAAAGCATCTGTTTTCTAAAAGAACTTCCAAATTTTGGTTGTAAAAAAAAAAAAAGAAAGCTCCTAAAGTGAACAATTCAGCTTCTGAAATGCGGCTTTTCGACTTCTAAAATTCGGCTGTTCAGCTTCTGAAATGCTGACACGACCCAAGGGGAGAGTGGGCTTTTGGGGGCTCATATCTCCATTTTTCTCAATGGGCCAGGCTTCCTGGCAATAATACCTGTCCCATGTTGTACAACAGCCTTGCAACTACCACGATATATGGCTTCCCTTCAACAGGACAATAACTCAAGTTGGTAGGAGCTGGCCTTTCCCTTAACTTCTATCCTAAGTTTAGAAATCCAACTTGCATATCTCAGCCAGAAGCATATAACAGATTGCTGATATATCTTGTAAAATATTTTACAACAAGAGGGAGTACAGGAATAGGAGTCAGAAGTCTTGTTTTTTATGCCACTTCCAAGACAGATGCACTATATGACATATACAAGTCCATGGGGACAGATAGGATGCACCCAAGGGTGCTGAGGGAGTTGGCTGATGTGACTGGAAAGCCACGGCTATCATAATTGAAAACTCATGGCAATCAGTAGAGGCCCCAGATGATTGGAAAAGGGCAAGCCCAGTGCCCATATTTAAGAAAGGGAAAAAGAAGGATCTAGGGAACTACAGTCCAGTCAGCCTCCCCTCAGTCCCTGGAAAAATCATGGAGCAGATCCTCAAGGAATCCACTTCTAAGCACTTGGAGGAGAAAGAGGTGATCAGGAACAGTCAGCATGGATTCATCAGGGGCAAGTCATGCCTGACCAACCTGATTTCTTTCTATGACAAGGTAACTGGCTCTGTGGATGCAGGGAGATCAATGGATATGGTGTACCTTGATTTTAGAAAGGCTTTTGATACGGTCTCCCACAACATTCTCACAGGTAAGTTAAGGAAGTATGGGCTGGATGAATGGACTGTAAGGTAGATAGAAAACTGGCTGGAGCATCAGGCTCAGAGAGTAGTAATCAATGGCTCAATGTCCAGTTGGCAGCTGGTATCAAGTGGAGTGTACCAGGGGTTGGTCCTGGGGCCTGTTTTGTTCAATGTCTTCATCGGTGACTTGGAAGATGGCATAGAGTACACCCTCAGCAAGTCTGCAGATGACACCAAGCTGCGGGAAGTAGTAGATACCCTAGAGGGTAGGGCTAAGATTCAGAAAGAGACAAATTGGAGGATTAGCCTGAAAAGAAATCTCATGATGTTCAACAAAGACAATGGCAAAGCCCTGCACTTAGGACACAACAATCCCATGCACCAGTACAGGCTGGGTCTGACTGGCTGGGAGCTGTTCGGCAGGAAAGGACCAGGAGGTTACAGTGGACAAAAAGCTGAACATGAGCCACCAGTGTGCCCTAGTTGCCAAGAAGGCGAACAGCATACTGGGCTACATTAGTAGGTGTGTTGTCAGTAGGTCAAGGGAAGTGATTCTTCCCCTCTATTCAGCATTGGTGAGGCCACATCTGGAGTACTGTGTTCAGTTTTTGGCCCCCCACTACAGAAAGGATGTGGACAAATTGGAGAGAGTCCAGCAGAGGGCAACAAAAATGGTTCGGGGGCTCAGGCACATGACTTCTGAGGAGAGGATGAGGGAACTGAACTTATTTAATCTAGAGAAAAGGACACTGAGAGGAGATTTAATAGCAGCCTTCAACTGCCTGAAGGAGGGTTCGAAAGAGGATGGAGCAAGACAGTTCTCAGTAGTGGCAGATGACAGAACAAGGAATAACGGTCTCAAGTTGCAGCAAGGGAAGTTTAGGTTAGATATTGGGAAGAATTTTTTCATTAGGAGGTTAGTAAAACACTGGCACAGGTTACCCAGATAGGTGACGGAAGCTCCATCCTTGGAGGTTTTTAAGACCCGGCTAGAAA